ATACTGTAAAGGGTGGGAGAGTTGTCCCCCTATAGTTTTGGGGTGATGGCTACACTATAAAGTGTAGTCAGCTCTTGGCAAAAGAGGAGGGAATTGGCTTCTCAGCACAGTAGTAACTTGGACATTTTCCATTGTCTGCACCGGAAAGTGGCGCTTAGGGAATGACGCGTAAATGTGACGGCTCTCACAGCAGCCTCACCTGCTGCAACTAAATGTAACTGCCATTCCACAGTGGTGGTCCCATTGGATGGCCCCAACACACTGTTACTTTGATCTTTTCTTCCACTAAAGCAAACTTAATTTGAAAATGATTATACTCGAAGGTCAGCTCTGCGACTTTTCTTAAACAAAAACAAAGCTATAGAATCATGTCCATATTGGCTCTAAAGCAAAAACCAATCCCCAAAATTCATCCAGTTAGAAACTTAGAGCGACCCTTTCCTTGACATCGTGACGTAAAAAATTCAGACATTTGTTGTCCCTTCTGCCCTGAAGCGTACTCCAGTCTTCAGCGTTTGGCGCCCGTGGCCACGTGGCCGACAGTCTCAGCATCACCTGTTCTGTTAGCCTGCTCACATTTGCCCTAAAAAGTCCTAAATTTGCAGTAAAACTTCCATAGTTCCTGATGCTGGTTGACATCTTTTTAAGAAGCAGCGTTGAGTGTATTGATACTCATCAGATAACGTACTGGGTCCCATCCTTTTGGATGTCAGCCCAGTTTTTCCTGAGAGTTAAAGGCACAGATCTGAGGTCTGGCCTTTAAAGAAAGAAAGACATTGGACACCCGTTGCTGTACTGAGTGCTCTGCAGAGAGGGAGCCAGTTTCCCCTGTGGTCCGCTCGCGTGAGCCCCAGTACCAGCGGGACCCAAGGCCCTTGTGTAGCTTGATGGCCCTTTTAGGTTAATGTGTGTCTGAATTCAAGGCAGGCTCTAAGAATGCTAAGGGCATTACTCTCCCTTTGTATTTTTGAAGGAAACGCAACAGGAAAGGAGAGAAGAACGGTAAGGGCCTGAGGCACTTCTCCATGAAGGTCTGTGAGAAAGTGCAGAGGAAGGGAACCACGTCCTATAATGAGGTGGCTGACGAGCTTGTTGCAGAGTTCAGTGCTGCCGATAATCACATCTTACCAAACGAATCCGTAAGTATGTACCGCATGATGCACTGGCATTGCACAGTCCGCTCTGTTTTTATGTGAAACAACTTCAAACAGAAGTTCTAAGGAGAGTACAAAGGAATTTTTTCCCAACCCATTTGTGGGTACGATTCGCCATCATCCCCAAATGTTTGTGCCTGCGCTCTGGCTCTGCCTGTTGGGCAACCTCCCCCTACAGAAATGCCCTCTTGCC